GTTTAGTAAAATCAAATTATTGTATACAGATACGGATAGTTTAATATATCATATATTTACAAATGATTTTTACACTGATATAAAACCTGACCTTTCATCATACTTTGATACCTCAGATTATGATACAAATAATATTTTTGAATATCCAAAATTAAATAAAAAGAAATTAGGTTTTTTTAAAGATGAAAATAATGGTAAAATCATGAAAGAATTTGTGGGTTTACGATCCAAAATGTACGCTTTTAACTTAGAGAATAAGACTATAGCCAAGGCAAAAGGGGTAAATAAATGTATCACTAAAAAGATGACAATGAATAGTTATAAGTCTTCTCTATTTAATAAAAAAGTGCAATATTATAGCATGCTTAGATTTAAATCAATTAAACACACAATTTTCACACAAAAATTAAATAAGATAGGTTTATCATATAATGACACAAAGAGACATATTTTAGATAATAATATTGAAACATTAGCTTGGGGTCATTATAAACTGCGTTAAGTGTTGATAGTTTTTACTTTTATGTCTGCGTTTAAGAAAAATTGATATTGATTGTAAAATTATGATAATACTATAATATGACGTAGTTTATTACATATTTAAACATTGTTTTATTGTAAATAATTTAAGTTAATTGTTGTTTCTATTTATTTGAGGTTGAGTTAATTGTAAAATTATGATGTACTAATTGTTGTTTCTATTTATTTGAGGTTGAGTTAATTGTAAAATTATGATGTACTAATTGTTGTTTCTATTTATTTGAGGTTGAGTTAATTGTAAAATTATGATGTACTAATTGTGTTAGAAATAGTATACAGATAATTCTGTTTTATATAATTTTTGGAATATATATTAATTGTTTACACCAACACTTTCATTTTTTATTTCACCCCTTTGAACTTTAGACGTGTGTTATGTTTCACTTTATCCATCCGTTCACTGCTATTGTGGCAGGACCAAGTGGGTGTGGGAAGTCAAATTTTGTAACAAATTTCATAAAATCAGTTACAGAAATATGTAATTGTGATTTTAATCAGATCACATGGTGCTTTGATGAAATGCAACCATTATATAATTTACCAAATGTTAACTATCATCAAGGAATTCCAAATCTTAATATGTTTGATGGTGAAAACCCACATCTTGTTATTATTGATGATCTAATGAGAGAGTCCGATGGAAGAATTGTGGATATATTTACAAAAGGTAGTCATCACAGGAATCTTAGTGTATTTTATCTAACACAAAATTTATTTCATCAGGGTAAAGGACAAAGAGACATATCTTTAAACTCAAGTTATATAATATATTTTAAAAACCCTCGAGATAAAATTCAAATAAGATATTTAGCAAGACAAGTATCACCAGATAACCCAAAATTCATTGAAAATGCCTACAGGGATGCAACTCTAGAGGCGCATGGATATTTAATGGTAGATTTAAAACAGAATACCAATGATTTTTGTCGTATCAAGACAAATGTCTTTCCATTTAATGGTTTCTGTACAGTCTACGTCCCCACAAAAGAGTTTAAATACACCAAGAATCAAACAATTGAAATCATTGCTAAATGATGCATCGTCGACTCACAACGTATAAACATTTGCTAACCGCTTTGCATACGCTTAAACCAAAATATCAAAGAGCATTACTTAAAACGTGTGATGAAGAAGAAATTAACTGTATTTGTGAGTGTATTCATAACGTTTTACAAGGAAAAGTACCTCTTAAAGATCAGGATAAACAAAAATTGAATAAACATAAAAACATACTCCGTAAACTAGTACGTAAGTGTAAACATAAACTAAGAAAAAATATAATTATACAAAAAGGAGGGGCTTTCTTACCAACAATATTAGGTGCAATATTGAGTGGATTAGTGAGTGGACTAGCCAGTTAACATGGAAAATGCAAAGAAAATGATACTTATCGAACCTGGATTGATTGAAAAATTAAAACAAGAAAATAAGGTTAATAGTAATTTATCTCGATTAGATATTGAAATGCAAAATATTATGAATAGTTAGACGGAAGACCGAAAGAAATGGATATTATATTTACAAACACTGCAAAGATACCTTCATTTTACCGAAGAGGATCGTCAACCACTCAAATTACCAATTTATTCTGATACATCTAATGAAGATTCAAATGCACCAAAAATTGGTTTTAAAAATAAAGATAGAGATCTAAAAACTTCAGTTGATATTGAATCTTTGCTGGAGGAGAATCGATCCTTTAAAAGTAAAGAAAATGATGAAAATCCACTTTACACACCAGCTCAAATACTCAGTTTAATACCAAAAACTTATCATAAAAAAGGGCAGTTATTATTAAACTTAGTTGAAACAAGTAAAAGTAAAATACATTGGGATAACGAAGGTACAGTCATAATTGATAGTGAAAAAATTCCTGGAAGTAATATTGTTGATTTAATAAATGATTCACTAAGACCCCTAAAAAGAAGTGATCCGGTAGGGTGGGTTAGATTTGCTGAAGCATTAAAAGATATTAAAGTACCACTTACTTATATTGGAAATCCAAGGAGATGTGAGTTTATTAACCAACTTCAAGCAAAAGATCTGAACAAACCCTCTGAGATTGAAGTTCAAGAGTTTTCTACACCGTGCAGTAGAGATAAAAAGTCTACAACTAAAATACGTAAAGGACTTGAGTGGGAAAAATGGACTCCGTACTAGAAGAAATTAACAGGATTTATTATGATCCATCTAATCCCGCTGGTTTTGGTAGTATTGATAAATTATCAAAAGCCATGAAGGGTAAAATGAATAAAAAGCAAGTAAAGGAATGGTTAAAATCACAAGAAACATACACATTACATAAACCCATTCGAAAAAAATTCCCGCGTAATAGGTACATTCTATCAAATATTAATGAACTGTGGCAAGCTGATTTAAGTGATATGCGAACTTATTCTCAATATAATGATGGTTTCAAGTATATACTTTGTATTATTGATGTATTTAGTAAATATGCTTTTGCAAGACCAATGAAAAAGAAAAACTCAGAAACAACTAAAGAATGTTTTGAAAGTATATTTACTGAAAGTAATTTAACACCTACTCACATACAATCCGATAAAGGTACAGAATTTGTTTCAAAAGATGTACAAAAATACTTTAAATCCAAAAAGATTAATTACTATACCACTAACAATCCTGACATTAAGGCCAGTATTGTTGAACGATTTCAAAGAACACTAAAAATGAAAATGTGGCGATATTTCACTCATAATAATACTTATAGATATATAGATGTTTTACAAGATTTAATATACTCTTATAATCACAGCTTTCACTCTAGTATTAAGATGTGTCCATGTGATGTAAATTCCAACAATATTATGACAGTTTGGACTAATCTTTATGATAGACGGTCAAAAAAACTTTCTTTAGAAAATCCTAAACCAAATTTCAATGTGGGTGATTATGTTCGAATAACTAAATATAAACATGTATTCCAAAAAGGATATGAATCAAATTGGAGTGATGAAATATTTATTATATCTTCAATAATTGATAGATCTCCATGGGTTGTTTATACAATAACAGATTTACAAAATGAACCAATAATTGGTACTTTTTATGAAAGAGAATTACAGAAAATCACTTACAACCCCACCTCACAACATAAAATAGATAAAATAATTGACACTCGTTATTCAAGTAACAGAAAAGAAGTATTAGTGAAGTGGAAAGGTCATCCAGATAAATTTAACAGTTGGATTTTAGCTTCTAGTTTAAAAGAAATATGAATAAAGAAAGTTTCTATTTAACTTTGCTCAGCAATAGTTCAATGGAATACTTTCCTGATAACAAGACCACAAATTTTTCAACGAAATTACCAAAAGCTATAAAATTAGAAGGTGAATGGTCGGTTGGAGTTGTCGAGTTTCAATATCCATGTACCATGTTTACTGTTCAAGACCATGAAAATGTTATATACATTACAAAATCTATGTTAATGCCTAATGAAGATAAGCCATCCACAGTGTACTACAAAAAACATATTCCAGCTACCAACTATGATAACGTTGAGCATATTTTAAGAGTGTTAAATGGTATCGGAGAGAACTTGAAATTTCGCTATGATGAAATAACAAAATTTGTGTCTATTTCGGTATTGGATAAAAATATAACATCCGTAACATTATCACCCAAATTAAGTTTACAGCTAGGTTATGAACCAAATAAAAATCTCCTAGAGAGAAATTTTGGAAAGTGTCCTGCTAATTTACACTTAAGGTTACCATCTCAACTATTTCTATATTGCGACATTATCGATCCTCAGATTGTGGGTGATGTTATGACTCCTTTATTAAGAGTCATTTCATTAGATCCTACAAAATACATTTATGGTGCAAATAAAATGCACGTTTTCTCTCAACCTCACTACTTACCTGTTATGCGAAGAGAGTTCGATACGTTGGAAATAGTTATAAGATCGAGTACAGGACAAAAAATACCATTCCAGTTTGGAACGGTGTGTATTAAACTACATTTCCGAATATTATAATAATGAATTCTCTTCGTGATCATCATAAATGTCCATATGAAAATTATTATACACATCAAGCTGGATCAGGAGTTGGAGTAATTTATAAGGGTTCACCATATCAACGCGGTCATGGTATTGGGAGCTTCTTAGGGGGGTTATTCAGATCAGTTTTACCTTTACTTTCAAGTGGTGCTCGAGTGATTGGTAAGGAGGCATTAAGCGCTGGAGTAGGACTTTTATCGGATATGGTTCAAGCCCGTCCTATGGAAGCCTCAATAAAAGATCGTCTAAAGCAAGTTAGTACGAATTTAAAACGAAAGGCTGATGAGAAAATTGATCAATTTAACATGACTGGATCTGGGTATAAAACTAAAAGAAAACGATTGACATCGTTCATTCCACCATTAACTGCTAAAGTGAAAGCTGCGAAAAAACTTAGTCTAAAACCAAAAAATATCAAAGATATATTTTCAAACTAAATATGTCTTTCCTTCATAATCATTCGTGCGAGTGCGTTAAGTCAGAATTGGATTTGTTTGCACTACCGTCTACACAAACTAGCATTGAAAATGGATTGTGGATTCATTATAAACCAATTTCATCTCTTGGTGATGATGGACCTATCGAGTTTCAAGTTCCTGGGACCGGCGATGACTACATAGATTTGTCTCATACATTACTCCACATAAAGGCAAAAGTATTAAATCAAGATTCAACTAACTTGGTATCTGCTACAATAGTAGCACCTGTAAATAATTTGCTACATTCACTTTTTAGTCAACTTGATGTTTATTTAAACCAAAAACTTGTATCACCACCTAATAATACCTATGCATATCGAGCATACATGGAAACCCTTTTAAACTATGCCCCTGCTGCTAAACAATCTCATCTTACTTGTAGTCTTTGGTATGAGGATACAGCAGGAAAAATGGATTCTACAGATGGTAAAAACATAGGATTTGTTAAAAGACAGGAATTGATTAGTGAAAGTAAGGAAATAGAAATGATTGGTCATCTTCACGGTGACATTTTTAACCAAGATAAATTTTTAATTAATGGTGTTGAAATGAGTGTTAAATTGGTTCGATCAAGAGAGAGTTTTAATTTAATTGTTGGGTCAAACGATGTAAAGTTTAAAGTTTGCATTACGGATGCAACTCTTATTGTTCGACGAGCACGAATTAATCCAAGTGTATTACTCGCACATCAAAAAGTTTTAGCTTCTACCACTGCTAAATATCCTATTACTCGAGCTGAAGTAAATGTTTTAACAATTCCTTCGGGTGTTCAAGGAAAAACTCTTGATAATATATTTTTAGGACAGGTACCGAAAAGATGTATAATTGGATTTGTGAACAATTCTGCATTTAATGGTTCCCTTACTAAAAATCCATTTAACTTTGAAAACTATGGTATTAATTCTTTCAGCTTATATATTGATGGTCAACAAATACCTTCAAAAGCTTTGCAACCATCTTTTAATAATAGCATATTTACATCAGCATATCATACTCTATTCTCGGGAACTGGTATTCACTTTCTTAATGAAGGAAATGGAATCTCTTGTGAACAGTATGGCAAAGGTTACTGTCTATTAGCATTTGACTTAACTCCTGATTTATCAGCTAACTCATCAACTCATTGGAATCTCATAAAGCATGGTAGTGTAAGAATAGAAGTACGATTTGAATCCTCATTAATACAAACAATTAACTGTATAGTTTATGCTGAGTTTGATAATATTATTGAGATAGATAAAAACAGAAATGTTACTGTAGACTATAGTAGTTAAGGTTATAATATGTGTTGTGTGTTAGATTTTATGTGTTATGTGTAATGCATTTTGTGTGTATGTAACTATGTGAAACGTTATAAAATTAAATAAAACAAATTGTATGCAATATATTTTTTTTATTTCTTTATAAATCTTCTATTTAATCTAATACAAAACACTGTTCGAGTTGAAATTTTACATAAGCACACTGACTAAACCACTGAACATGCTGCTGCCAAGGATCATCATCATCTTCCCAATCTTTTAAACCACCACCACAATGGAAACACTTGGTCCCGTCTGCATGGCCAGTATAAAAGAAACCAGCTTCTGCAAGATCTTCAGGTTTCTGTCGCATAACTAGAGGCCAGTTTTCGAAACTAAGCAAACGGCTAGATTTTGAACTGAAGAATGGATATTCAGCTCTTGAGTACTGCATACTCTTCTCGTTTTCTTCTCCACTCAGTGTTGTAGTTTTGTTATTCAATGATGTGTTTTGTACACGTATGCCACACTCATCTCTTCCTTCCGCTCTTGTCTTCCTGTAATTGAAGTAAACAGAATCACATTCGCTAATGATCAGCTAATGACTGTCATTGTTAAACAAGTATTTTTTAACTTTTTCACTTTCTGCTATTGTCTTTGTTATATTGTATACGAGGGCGTTTGTGTTGTCGTAGATGCTATCCTTATTAGTCTTTACGTAATATTTAATTCTAGTGGAAGCATGTTTCCAATGATCAGTAGTTGGAATCTTGGATAGCTTCTTCATATCGTACATTTCAATTTTGATGAGATGCGTCGCTTGGTCTCCGTCGTCAGAATTAGTAGAAATGTATGATACACCATCTCTAGCGGCTCGTGCTACGGTTGATGATAACAGCTTCCTCTTTTTTATTTTTGATTCAGCTTCAAAAAATTGATCAATCGATTGCGATTTTCTTTTTCCACCATCGCATGTGTTATTATTAATGACGAGGTTATCACTCTCTTCTTGAGGGGAGAGTGGCGAGTAGTAATACTGTTTATAGGTATCTTCATCGAAGCTCAATGATTTCTGCAACAACACAGTTATCATGTTAATATCAATTTGTTAACACTTAATCATAAAAGTTAAAAAAGTTAAAGTTACAGCCTATTAAAGTCCACTGCTGAACATAGGCCTCCTCTCATTTCTGAGAGGGTTTTAGAGCAAGGAAATGTCCGCCGCGCTCCCTCAATGTGTGTTTGCGAACTTCACATGCCTTCGAAATTTTCTCAGACATGCAGGTTTCCTCACGATGTTTTCCTTCACCACCAAGCACGTGGTAATAAGCACTTAAAATTGCTATTAACAATTTAATTGGTGCTGGCGGGGATCGAACCCGGGTCGCGTACTGTGAAATTTACAGCTAGCGCTAACCATCTGAGTTACCACGGCTTAATCATATACATACACAATATTTAAATAAAATAATACACACACATGAAAATAACAGAAAAAAAGTAATTTAGTCAATAGAATAAACACTTACATCCATAGCCTTTGGTGTATTGAAGTAACACAAATGTACTATTGATAGATCCACTGTAGCCAAACGACCGTACACTAACTCGATGACTGCGTTTGTTGGTCTTATATACCACCAGTACGTAAAAATTCTAATCTAAAGTATTTCCGTAATGAGTTGATAATTACTTTATGCGTCAACCAGTTTATCTCACATTTCCGTTGCCTATCTCAACATTTCTTCGTATTGTGTTTTGTTTGGTGATCAATGACTCAAGTACGATTTGTATAACACAAAAATGCAATTTAATATTTAGAAACATATCAGTTTATCTCACATTTCCGTTGCCTATCTCAACATTTCTTCGTATTGTGTTTTGTTTGGTGATCAATGACTCAAGTACGATTTGTATATCACAAAAATGCAATTTAATATGTAGAAATCACTATAATTGACCATTCCTATGTTATTCATTGAGTAGCTAGGTACTGTAATAATCTACTAATAGCAGTAATATCATGGATACACTAGATGTACAACAACATCTGAAAAAGATTCACCCCAGTCTAGAAAATAATGTTTATGCAGCTAATAGACTGCCTATGTATACCCACGTACCAACGTATATAATATGTAATTTGGATACAGATGATAAACCAGGGTCACATTGGGTAGCTTTATATATCGATACGAATGACGTCGGTCAATATTTTGATTCATATGGACGATCACCTGTACGATATCATCTAGAGTTTTTAAAAAGGAATTGTAAAAGATGGAACTGGAATGTTGATAGGATTCAGAATGAGTGGACTTCAGTTTGTGGCGAATATTGCTTAATGTATTTACTATATAAGTTTCAAGGATGTTCAATACATAGTTTTACGAGTATATTTACAAGGAACACATTGTACAACGATATTTTAGTGGATGAGATGTTTCGCTCCTATTTTATAGATAATAATTAATAAGATTTTGTATTTTATAAATAAAAATTGTAACAAAATTATGTAATGTGTTTTATTGATGATTCAGATTAGCGTTGTATAATTAGGAACAAAGAACTATAACACAATAGCACTGGTATAGTCGACGCACACGCTGCAATGAAGGTGATTAATGAACAATAGAACAATAGAAATAGGAACAACAATGGGACGCTAATGACGGTGGAGGCCCTTACCGGGATAGGATAGGATCGGGCGTCGACGAACGTCGTTGAACCACGTCTGACTCAGGTGGTCTAGAAGTGGTACAACTACACTACTGATAGGTACTTACGTAATCACGTACATATTTTCACGATTCTTTCAAAACGAATGGATGTCAATCAAAAATATTATGTTGACATTACATTATCCTGTGTTTAAAACTGCAATCTAGCAATTAAAACATCCAAATGATAAATATAATAAGTTATCCATTTTAAGGGGCATTAATCAGAAATCAGAAATGTTTATTTTCTTTACGAGAAACATGGTAGTACAAAGATCTTAATATAGTGATAAGTCCTCATGTTTGACTTATAACTGTCATGCAAATTTAAAAGTAATTCCATTTTAATCTACTTAAAGTTAAAAATAAGTTAATAGACTAAATATAAAACCAATGGTAAACGTGAATCATAGACAGAACATTACATTACATTTATAAATTGTATAATATTTTGTCGCTCTTTGTTCACTGCGTCGCCTTCGATCTTTTCTTCCCATTCCTACAAAAATTATGCTCGCACAGTCTCTTCTCCTTCCGATTCTCGACTATGCTGACGCAAGCTATGTAGACATAACTGAGGACCAGCTAAATAAGCTTGAGAGACTTCAAAATACTAGTATTCGGTTCATATTTGGATTGCGCAAATTTGACCATATTTCCCAATTTCGCTCACGTCTCAAGTGGTTACCTATCCGACTTCGCCGGAACATGCATATACTTTCTATTCTGTACTGTGTATTATTTCACCCTTCTACTCCTCTCTATCTAAAGGAGAAGTTTAATTTTGTGGGGCTTCCGGGGGAACCCTTACGCTCTTCGAGAAAATTCATTTTAAGTGTGCCAACTCACAATACATAATTTTTTAATAAATCTTTTACTGTCCAGTCTATTAAGCTCTGGAATGCCCTACCTTTGCATATACGTGAGGCACAAACTATTGTTATCTTTAAGCGATTACTTAAAGAGCATTACTTGTCTCAATCGTTCGGACACCGTTAGGATAGATTGTGTGATTATGTATTTATTGTATCTATCAGCTTTATATTATTGTTTGAGGAATTTTGTATATATATATATTGATATATATGTGTTGTGTGTATATTTATGTATATATGTTTATATATATGTGTATATGTATGTATATGTATATATGTGTATGTATGTATGTATGTATATGTGTATATGTGTATGTATATGTATATATTATATGTGTTACCTTATATTTTATTATGTGTTAGTAATTTATATTATTTCATGTATTACTTAGTTATTTATATCTTTTTTTTTTTGCATTTATTATTTGTATATTTATATTGCACCACCTACCACCTACCCATTCATTGTTTGTATTACTTTACACCTTTGGTTGCCTGGAAGAGATTGCTATGTAGCGATAAGGCCGCCAAATTGTACATATTATAATCAGATTTTTGTTATGACATTTGTATATTTGTTCGTGGTGTACAATAAAAGTATATTCATTCATTCAATATTTTATGTCAAATTATTCAATTAATAAATAAAATAAACACAGAAAAGCTACAAACACAATTAAAATTCAAAAATCTCTTGGTCATCTAAGTATTCCTGGACTGAATAAAAGCACCTAGTCAAAAGCCAGGAATGTAACTTTCTTTTAAACAATGGTAATGGCAGAGCCTTGAAACTTGGATGTAGCTTATTATAAATTTTGATAGCCGTACAATAACAGCTTCGTCTGTATAGTTGAAGTCTTATTCTAGGTTGCATGATCCTTTCTCGAAGTCTAGTAAGTTTATTTTTGTATTCCCCTCTAGTGACAAAATACTGAGAGTGTTTTCGTACAAAATACACTTTTTTTTTATATACAGACACGGTAGCGGTAGGATTCCAAGATTTTTGAAAAGGGATTTACAGTTTTCAAGAAAATGTACTCTGCATATGGCCCTAATACATTTCTTTTGGGCTATGAAAGCCCGGTTTACATCCACTGAACCTCCCCACAATATAGTGCCGTAACTTAATAGTGATGACACATAGCCATGGTAGGCCGATAGAGCAGTTTCAATAGATGATATATTACTAAGTCATCGTAGCGCGTATACAAATTTATTTATTCTCGTACATAGATTGTCTATATGTGCTTTCCAGTCACAGTGTTTATCTAAAGTAAATCCAAGAAACTGAACTTCATTAACAATTTCAATAGTATTACCGCAATAATCGACTAGCGCATCCATTGACCTTGCTCTGTGAGTAGTAAAGTGGATGGCCTTTGTTTTTTGTATGTTTATTTTGAGATTGTTTGAATGTAGCCAATTGATTAGGTTGTGT